ATATTTTTTATATTTATTATAATAAAAAATATTTTTAATATATATTATATTTTAAAGATTGGTGTTAAAAAATTTTAAATAAAAACAGAAAAAACCGGCCGAGGGGCCTATAGAAATTGATGGTCTCCCCTTCTTGGTTTCCGAGCCTTATCCTGTAATTAAAGCAGAAAACAAATGGTTCAGACTCGAAAGACTTGGTCCATAAGTCCAACTACTTCATGGACCCTTGCTTTTACTTTTCAAATCAATAATGCAACGCAGTTCCTTTCGCACTAAATCTTTGTGTTTTTTTCATTTAATGGTAGGTTGCTCTTTAAATAGATTATGTGAGTCAAATTAAGATATTTTGTTATATTAAAAATTAGTAACTTATTATCCCTTTGGTATTGAATGTTAAATCTTATTTATTCTAATTGAATGAACATAATTGTTTAAAAATAAGATAATTAAATAAAACTAAAGCCTAAAGCGAGTGGACAATTTTTTTTGTTAAGAAAAAAAAAAAACCTTCGTTGATATCCAGAACATACGGGGACATCATGCACATTTGCCTTTAAATGTCAAAACTGTGTAAAATTATTTAAATGTTTTTAATAAATTAATTTTATATATTAATTTATTAATAATATTAGTCTTTTTATTATTAATTTTAATATTTTAATTATTAAAATATTTTAATTTTTTCCAATCCCCGTAAGTATTATAGGAAAAATAATTTTTTTAATTCACGTGTCATTTTTTTTTTTTAACTTATAAAATTGATGTATTATTTCCTTTAGCATATAAAAGTAACTAGGAGAAGTTTTATATTAACAATTAATTAAACATCATAATCTTGCTAAAAAAAAGAAGGCTGAAATGAGAGAAATTTTTTATTACCCCAAGGAATTGTTGTCAAGGTAAAGATGTTCAAGTTGTGTACAATTTCCCAAACTAGGAGGAATCGGGCCCTTCAAATTGTTGTCTTCTAGGTTAAGATATTGAAGTTGGGTGAGATTTCCAAGCAAGGATGGAATTGGCCCTGAAATTCTATTCGCCTGTAGTTCAAGATCAGATAGCTTTTCCAGTTTGCATATAGAAGAAGGAATTTCACCTGTAATACTGGAAGCAGTTATAACCAGATACTCTAAGCCAACCAGATTCCCAATCTCTTTGGGGATTTTACCTGAAATCTGTAGGTTTGCACCTATGGCGAACATTTCAAGCTTAGTTGAAAGATTGGCAATTGAAAGGGGTAATACACCTTCGAAATTATTGCCGTCAAGTCTCAATCGGCGAAGGTTGGTGCAATTAGTTAAAGAAGTTATGAAACCTAAACCTTCTCCTTCTACACTTTCCAACTGATTTCCCATGAGATATAGCATTTGAAGATTCCTTAGGCTTCCAAGGTTTGAAGGTACCACGCCACTGAAATTGTTATTCCCTAATTCAAGCATTTCTAATTTGGTAGCATTTAGAAAAGAAGCTGGTATCTCTCCATAAAAATGATTTAGAGGGACATAGAAATACCGAAGATTAGGAAGAGTGAAGCCAACATCAGATGGAATTCTACCATGCAACTGGTTCTTTGCGAAAGAAAGTAGATACAGTGACGATAAATTGTAAATGGAAAGTGGGACCTCCCCAGAAAAATTGTTTTGAGAAAGCTGTAGGAATTCCAAGTTTAGAAGTTTTCCAAGCTCTGCTGGTATACTTCCCTGTAAATTATTTTCCATCAAGGATAA